GCTGCAGGAACTGGGCCGTGGAACCTTCTCGGTGTGCCGACTGTGCGAGCATCGCGCCAGCAAGAAACACTATGCGGTGAAGGTGATCGAAAAGGCAGCCGTGGCCGCCGCATCCACATCCACGTCGGCCGATTGCTGGGAGGAAGTGGAGATAATGCTGAGGTATGGCAACCATCCCAATATCGTCACCCTGTATTCTGTTTACGAGGATGCGGGCTCCGCCTATCTGGTCATGGAGCTGCTCAAGGGCGGCGAGCTGCTCGATCGCATCCTGGCCGTGGGTCAGATGTGCGAAAGCGAAGCCAGTGCCGTTCTACGGACGATTGCATCCGCCGTGGCCTATCTCCATGAGCACGGAGTGGTCCATCGGGATCTGAAGCCCTCGAATATGATATATGCCAGCATGCGGCAAACTCCCGAGACCCTGAAGCTCTGTGATTTGGGTGAGTGTGATTCCACTTTCCACTTTATATGGCCTTGTAGTGGAATTTCCAATTTTTTAGTTTGCATAAGGAGGTTTCTGGTTGCCAATCAGATTTATTATTTAAAAACTCCCTTTTGTTTTATTCCCCATATAAATATCAACTGTTGGAGTCCAAGAATTTGTTATACAATGCAGTTACTCAATAACCATTATATGGTTCATATAAAGAACTATAAAGAAAAGTAAAGGGCTTAAATTGAAGTAAAGATGCATTTTCTTATACAGTTGCGGTCAAAATAATAGTAGTGGTCGAACACAACATACCTTTAAGAAAGTATAGGAAAAAAACAAATTTTTCACTTACAAAAAATCCTGCAAAATACATTGAAAAAGAACTAAAAATTAAAATAAAGGGATTCGTGATTAAGAGCGAATATTATTTTTTATTTTTAATTGCAGTTCCGCAATTTGATTTAAAAAAGGGAAATTTAATTTTAAATATTTTTTTGATTTCATAAAAACATTTGTATTTCAAAAAAAAATTATTATAATTTTAATATTTTTACCGATTCTGGAAAACTATAATATAAATAGGCTTTTAACCTTGCCTTGGCTAGATTTTCAGGTTATCAATAGAGAATATTGATATATTTGTCATTTATTTAGCAAGATTGCTCACCTCCAGAAATCTCTAGCAACCTAATTCGGTTGGAATCTGTATGGGATGTTACGTTTCGATTCCAAACGATTTTTTTTCTTAAAAGAACCTCTAGAAATAAATCTGAAAATTGAAATGCAAGGCTATATTCTGTTGGGGTCTACGTTCCCGTGGATGGAGAAGTATCTATGACGTATGTATTTCTCTGCAGGCTTCGCCAAGCAGCTGCGCGCAGACAATGGACTCCTGATGACGCCCTGCTACACGGCCAACTTTGTGGCGCCCGAGGTTCTAAAGCGGCAGGGCTACGACTTGGCCTGCGACATCTGGTCGCTGGGCGTGCTGCTGTACATCATGCTATCGGGCCGGACGCCCTTCGCCAGCACACCGAACGACTCGCCGGATGTGATACTGAAGCGCATCGGATCGGGACACATTGACTTCACCAGCAGTCGCTGGGCATTGGTCAGTGTGCCGGCCAAGGAACTGTTGCGTCAGATGCTGCACATAGTGCCGGAGAATCGGCCGACGGCGGCGCGAATTCTTGAGCATCCATGGCTGCGGGAGCAATTCGCCGGCGGTGTTCAGCTGACGGAGTATGCGATGGCACCCGGATCACAGCTTTCGCTGGGCGCCCAACAGCAGCAGCAGAATCACATCTCGATGGCCCTGCGTGGAGCTGTGGATGCCACGTTTCGGGCCATTGCCATACCGCAGGCGGCCAATGTGGGACCCGTGGAACTGTCGATGTTGGCCAAAAGGCGGGCCAAGGACCGAGCCAATTTGCACTCCTAATCCTGGGCCGCAGCATGGTGTGCACGACGCCAGGCCAAGAGGCTGATAATCCGGCTAGTTTTCCGACTCTATAGTATTCTGATCCATTGCTGTTGTGTCATACCGCGACGCCTCGTCCAGAATGGCAACGGTCACAGGCTGGATCCACATCCACATCCACTGGGCAATCCTCGCCAGCGCTGCCGCAGCACCAAGCTGCGTGTGGTTTAGGCTCGTGGGGTGTGTTCTGTAATCGGCCCGACTTTAAGTATTTAACGACAATTGTTGATTATTTATTTTATATAAAAGCATACCGAGATGCCGAGGCCAAAAAGCAAAGTGCAGGGCATCTATATACACATATATATAACTATACAGATACCGATATACATCTATATACATAAATATAGCTATTTATAAAACAAATCCTTGAGCAAGGGCCTCGAGTGCGTGTGTGTGTGTGTGGGTGACGCCAGGATCATCCCAGATGATACCTGATCATCCAGTAATTATCCACAACCCGAAATCGAAATCGAATGTAATCTCCACGCACACACCACAACTTTACAACATATAAAACAAAATGCATACATATTTTTAATTAAATTAATCGTAGCTAAATTTTTCAACATCACCTTGTTATTGTTGTATGACTAATTAATTAAAAAGCTAAACGAAAAAAAAAAAAATAATTAACAGAAAAACAAGGGCAAAAACCACGATCATTTTCTATTATTATTAACTACTTTTGTCGCCAAACTATTATAACAAATCGTAAAGAAGCTAAAGAAAAACTGTGTAAAGAAATAATAAGCCTAATAACAAAACAAAAAAAAAAAAAAAAAAAAAAATGAAAATGAAAATTTCCCACAAATTTTACTTGGAATGTCAATTTTGCACAAATAACTAAAAAAAAATTAAACAAATAATAATATACATAATTATGAGTTTATACAGCAAATGTACATAAAATCGTAGGCGAAAAAGGTGCTTTTTGGGCTCATAAGGCAAGGATTATCATAAGCCAGCAGTTTATTCCCACTTGCTACTCTTATTTAATGCTCTAATTTCAACATTTTATTCAAAGGTAAATTCTGCGCAGCTGAATTATAGTTTAAAACAGTTGTGACCACACAAAATTGGTTTCCCATTTCGTTCGCTGATGTCTTCCAACTAAAGTTGTATCGTTATACAATACCATAACGCACTGTAACTAGATTTAGAAAGTTACGAATTACCATAGGATGACTCAGAAAATAATTCGATTGAAGTCATTTCCAAACCCTCACTAACTTTCAAATACAGATATGATAGTGTCACCGTTCGATTATATATATATATATATATATATACGCCAATGAACGATCTGCCCAAGAACTTGTTTGCCACTCGAAAGACAACTAAAAATGTGATTTTATAAGAAAATTCTTCGCTACTTCGTTTGCAGTTTAATTTATTTCAATTTTTGCCAAGAAAACCTTGTTAAAAATGGTGTTACAAAGTATTATAAAAATTAAAAAAAAAAAAACAAATCAACATAAACAAAAAAAAAAAAACGAATAAATATATGAACAAAATTAATGTAAATTGTAATCAATTTTTGAGCAAGCTATGTATGTTCAACTGAAACACAAAAATTTCTCCGACATTTTTGGGGCTTATTTGGCTGTATGTGTGTGTGTGTGTGCTTTGAAAGTGTGTGTATGTGTGCTGTGTATGCGTGTGTTTGTATGCTAACAAGATTTATGCGCTGTGCCACTACTGAACTTACTGCTAACAAAAAAAAAACAATAATTGCATATACATACATTAGTATATACACCACCTAGAAAATGTTAGTTAAACTTGCAAATTTTTAAAAACAGACAACTTCCAAAAAAGAAAAAACAAAAAAAAAGCAGTAAATCGGATGGAGGGGAGGATTTTGTATGATCCTCCAATCCAAATATACAACAACATTTTAAGATAATGATTATATTATGATAAAAAGGATATGCAGTCAAGATTTATTGCTAAATTTCTAAAAACAATAGCTTAACAAAATGAAAGTTTCAAAAATAATGTACCCAAAGCCATTAAAGGCGTTGATGGTAAAACTTCAAAGATATATATTATATATGATATGCGGGTACTTCAAAAAAGCGCCTCAAAAAAGATTTAAAAAGTTATAAAGAAACCATGGCTCTTGATATACCAAATAGTTCAGCATTATTGCTGGTTTTCCAAACGCTTCTTAACATTTTAAAAAAATTCGTACAGAAATTATCGTAGCATCACCATTTCAAAGCTCATTTCGATAATTTGCACTTCTTTGAAATGTGTGCTTTATGCTTATGATCAAGATAAATACATACCATAACTAAATATTATGAAACAATATTATAACTGGCTTGTGAACAAAATTTTGAACTTGCACAAGAAAGACAGAGATGGCAGGCAGTCCCCAAAAAACACAGAAAAATCTAACCAAGTATTTGGAACCAAATACTAAACCCTCACAGCCACTTAAATCATTACACATAATCTTGGACCTCGATCTCAACCTGGACATCGACTAAACTCCCTAAAAAAAAAACAAAATAAATTTGTATAGATATGGATGCTACGTACATATATTTTCTTAGTAGATTTTTACAGCTTCCACAACTATATAATATGAATGAAATCCGAGAACACAACTAATGAATTAGCAACATTTTATTGTAATTGAAATCGATTCGAAATTATTGTAAAGTTGAATCATAGAAACCAAACAGGAGAAAATGAAGTGAAAAAATAAATTAAATTCGAAGTTTGAAATTGTTTTGATAAAATGGGGTTTACTCATATGAAATTTTTAGTCCATTTGCGGTATATGTTTATCTATGATTTAATAAACGTAAAGCAAATGAATCATGTTCTTATCTGTGGGTTCTTATCATTTTAGATAAGTCTTACCACAAAATGTTATAAAAAATTATTCGGGAAGGTCTCCCACAACTTGAGAAATCTTTTTAGCCAAGCCAAAAGCTATGTACTATGTACTATATTATATTACTTTATTTATTAGCTTATTTTATCTTAAAGTTCTTCTGACTCACACAACTTTTCTCTAAAATTTTCTCAACCCAATAATAATTACGCTTGTTTCTAGGTAACAATAATTGTTGTTTTATTTTATTTTATCGTTTCACTGCTTAAAATACTTTTTAATTCTGTGTTTAGCTTTTTTTTTTGTTTCGTGTATGTTTTTAATTGGAATCATAAGGTTTTGATTTGTGATAATTGAAAATCTTGCCGTTATTCTCAGGCTTTGTTCATCCCTTCATAAATTTGGATCAAAATAAATACACTTAGTTAAAGTAAATTATTGTACAATGCAATTAAGTTGACTTGCGGTTCTGTTTTCTTTTTTGTTTTGTTTTTTGTTTTTTTGTACATAAGCAAATTATGTAATTAACTTTGAATGTTTTGAATTTGTTCTTGTGTGTGGAGTGTAAAAAAATATAGATGTGTTTTTTAACTGTCGCATCTGCATCCGTTTGAATATTGCTGTGTCGCTAAATAAGCCCCATAAAGCGGCCTGTGTGGCAGGACCCTTGTCCTTGTCCTAGTGCTTTCCCTTGCCCTTGCGGCCCTTTTGTTGCTGCTGTGGCGTCTGCTGTCGCGTTGTCGTCGCCTCCTTTTCCTGCTCCTTACCATTATCCTCTTCCTTGCCGGAATCTGCCGCTGGAATGTAAAATAAATAGTTTAAGTATATGTATATATATAGATAAATATTTACAAGAGTTTGTTTTTATTTATGCATTTTGTTTTGTAGAGCCATAAATCTTGGTGTAACCTGTTTCTTGAGTATTTTTTATTACATTCAAACTAATTTGGAAGGCTTATAGTGCAGATAAACTTAATTTAAATTTGTTTCAAAAATAGGCTTTCATTTCACAAGCTTGGGTGCTTTAACCATGTCATTTCTAGATAAATGTGCGCAATCAGTTTTGTATTTGAATTAGTTTGATTTGGAATGTGCCTCTGCTCGAACTTTTAATTTAAATTGTACAATGGCTGGGCTTATGCGCTCACCTGCTGCATCCGCGTCCTTTAGCTGCATCTGCTTCAGCGCGGGGGTCAGCTCCACCACCAGGGTTTGATCGACTGCCTCCTCTGAATGCTGCTGCTTCGCCGGTTGCTTCTGCGCGGTCCGGGCCTCGTGGACGACCACCTCGCCCTCCTCCTCCTCCTCGACGACGTGCGCCTCCTCGGCAATCACGCCATTGAGCACGTTGACCGCCTCCTGGGCCATATTGGCCTGCGCCTGGCGACGACGATGCTCGAGATCCCGCTTGTAGTTCTGCGTCCATTCCACATGCTCCTTGTAATACTGGCTAACCGGGATCACAATCACCGATATGTCATCGACCGTGGCGGCCGCCTTGCTGTCGGCTAGTCGCCAATGCCCGGAATCGTTGATTTTGCCACGGGCACGGGCCACCAGCTCCTGGGCGACCATCGTATAGCGATGCTTCTCCGTTGGATATTTGGAGAGCGTCTGGAAGACGGTGCGTGCAACAGCCTCATTCTCGGACACATCCCACAGGCCGTCGGTGGCCATGACCAGCACACCGTAGTCACCGTCTCGATTGTCCTCGTCCGGAATGCACACCACCTGTGTGAGGTCCCTCTGCCTCACATCCGGATGGGGCGTGAGAAAGGGCTTGATCTGTATGCCCGTATTGATGGCCAACAGCTCGTGATCGCCGAAGCCACGCGTTACGCCCAGTGTGCCCAGCAGGCGACTTCGCTTGCCCTCGCCATTGACCACCGGCATGCGGAGATCCTCTCTGGTCAGCGTCTTGTACGTCCAGCCGCGCATTGTGCCCTGCCGGCAGAGGATGCGTTGGCCCATGTCCTTGATGTGCGGCCGCTTCGCGTACTCCATGGCCACATAGTGCTGGCCCATGAGATGTGGCTTCAACCGGGCCACATTTAGCAGTCGTTCGCGCTCCGTTTCGGGCGTGTGATCCGCTGAGAACGGCACTGGGTAGCAGCTAGCTTCCAGGGGATCCGGCTCAATGCCAGAGTCCGTAGCATTCGCGTGTGGCTTCTCGGCACGCGTGGCACGCCGCTGACAGAGCACGGCTCTGGAATCGCCGGCATTCGCCACATACATCTTGCCATCGATGAACAATGAAACGCAGGCGGTGCAGCCACCGGCATCGCGGTAACGATCACTGTCCTGCGCTATCAGTGAGTCCATGTTGAAGAAGGCACTCTCCAGCGCCCCCACGATCAGCTCGTCCTTGCTCACCCGACGCTGAAAGTAAATGGGGTGCGGGAATGTGGGATTCAGTTTGGTTCCATCCCCGCCACCGCCGACGCCACTGTTGGCCTCCGCATCCCGTGGCAGGAGCAGCTCCAGGCAGTCAACCAGCTTCTCGTGCAGGATGTGATGGAACTGATGCGAGGCGGCCAGTGCGGCTCCATATCCGGCGTGTCCGTCGAAGATGCCGAAGTATGTATAGGGAAGGTCCGGGTGCTTGTGCTCCGGATCCGAAAGCACTTGCCTGGCGATAGAAAGCGAAACACAGAGATTAGGTTTGACAATTACTCCAACTCAAATTACAAGCTATGCTTATTCTTCTTAACAAATCCTAATTTATTCTACAAGGTGAACAAATCCATCAAATATGTCTGACATTTAAGAATAAAAACGCAATATAAAGCTACAATGAAATGCTTATCAGCTTTCTATAGTAAATGATATATGTAATTTCTTAGAATCAGGAAGTTACACTATTGTTCCAATATTGTTTTGCTACCAGTCATGTTTACAAATTAATTTGTTTATGGAATGCGTTACATTTGGGTTGAACAAAAAGCTTACATGAGTAGTTGAGCTGAACAATATACATAAGTACTTCAGATGTACTCATTTTACAATTCCCGGTGGTTTTTGTTTACCAAAACCGTGTGTAGGTCTAAAATGCGACGTATACCTAATCAAAACACTATCTTCAACATGTGTAAATAGCAGTCTTACTTCTCAGAGATTTTTGACACTCTGTTCTGAGAAAACAAGAGAAACAAATACATCTATCTTGACGAGTAACTTATTAGTTTTGGTAATAGTGACGCAACCTTTAAACAAACATAGACCTTCGTATCACAAATAAGTAGCTTCTGGTTTAATACATTTACATTTCTTTGTATTATTTTTAAGACTAAAATGCAGTGGCTGAATATGTGCAAAATATACTTAGCACTGAAAAAATGTTAAATTTGATTCTGTTGAGTGCGAGGGAAATGAATTGTTTAAATTAAAATGTAAGAGAGAAATAAACAAACAAATAAGTCAATGATACTAAACAAAGGCATCAAAAAAGATTTCTAACGAAACCGTTTATTTTAAATAAAACAAATATTTTCCTAAGAATTTAAAATTCAATTTTTGATTGCTAGTTTCGATTCTTGAAAGACTATTTTAAGGATGATTTTCTTTTATAGGCACCTTTTCTTATTATTCATTTGGTATAGTTTTGAATCACTTACAATATATAATTTCATTTAAAATTGAAAGAGTTTATGATGACGAAATTGATAGTAGGATTTTTTTTGGGATAAGATTATTCTTATTATTTTTATAATGTATGTATTTGTTTAATATTTAAATTAACACCATTGAGTTGATTTTAAAGACAATTTACAACTTGATATATAACATTTATCAGATATATCTCACAGAATATGTTTAAAAAACACCAGGGCAAATGAGTATATGATGACAAAATCGATAGGACAAGATGTGTTTACCCCATGGGACTACTTTAGGGATGATCCTACAATCTATCAATATATATTTGACTTGCTTTTCTATCTTCTCTGAGATTCAAAAAAGATCATTGTTCAGATAGGACAGCTATATCCTGGGGGAATATATAAAAAACACCTAAACAAATGAGTATATGATGACAAAATCGATGAAATGATGAGATGACGGCGACGGCGACGGTGACCCATATTGGCCGCACCACTCACCGGCAGAAGGCGCCCTGGTCCTCGTTCCATTCAGACTTTCCGGAATTGACGCACTCGGCGTAACCGGTGCCCCAGGGCAGCAGGTTGATGTCCCGCGGCACGATGATGGGTCGCACATTGTGGTCCGCGGAGGCGCGCAGTTCATCCGGCGTGAGAAGTTGCAGAAAAGGGGGCCGCGCGTAGGGGAACTTATCCGGCATCGGTTGTCCGCCGGAGCCGCCGAACCGGAGACGCTGGTGCGGCGAGCTGTGGTGGTGATGTTGGTTGTGATGGTGACCGCCACTGTTCCGCTCACCGCTGCCCGGCAGAGGCGGTAAGTCGGGCGCTATGGCCGATATAAAACGCTCCTTAAAGTTACTAAACATTTTTCCTCGTTTTTGTTGTCCCTCTCGCTCGCTCCCGTTCGCTTGGCTCTTGCGCTCTCGCTCACTCCCACTGACGTGGCGAGCTTGCGTTGTTGTTGTCCCGTTGCTGTTGTCTCTTCTACTTGATTTTGAATAATACCCAGAATATCGTGATTATCGGTTATATATTGGATGCGGACTTATCAAGACGGCGACGTGGGTCTCCGTTCTGAGGCACTGGGCTACAAGGCGAACGAGCTGCACACGCTTGTTTGCAAAAACTCTGCGGATCTATGCGGTTTTATTTTTTTTTTTTACAAAATAAATCGATTTGCGATGCAGTGTGACCGTGCTAACAGAGCCGTAAAATACCAACGTTCTAGGGGGAATGGGAGAAAAATACTAAGACTCTTATGAACAAAGAAATACAGTGAAGCCAATACGGCGAAGTAAAGTGCTCAAAAACCTCATATTTTGCTTCTCATAAAATTTCAATGCATTCAAATCCAAAAAATACGTTTAAGGTACATGTAAAAATTAAAAATATCTCCAAATTTTGGTTAACTTACCGCATTAACGTTTTATTATGTGACAGTCAAAAAAAAAGGACTGAATACCTTACATATATTTATGAACGCATTCACAAGCATTACTATAAGAAAATCTTGTTGTTTATATAACATTATTAAAAATGTGTTGAAAATAGTGTACAAAAAGGCTAACACATTTCAATATTGGCGCTCTTTTTTGAGAGTATCGAAAATATACCGGAAAAAACGCAAAACACAGGAATCTAAAAAATAAGACCAAATATCGATTGCTATAAAATTCCCAATTTTCCAGTATTGTTAAACTATGAAAACTATTATTTGAATTTTTCTTTTCTTTTTGCAGATCGGAGCACAGCGAGCTACGCGATGTCATTATAAAGTCGAATGCCTCTGGAATTGCTTTGGACCAACAAAAGGTTGATCAATACATAAAGGCAATGTCTTTAAATGGCAATGAAAAGGTGGACCAAATGTGAATTTAAAAAATATGAACCTTGTTTTTAATAGCTTTTTTTTTAACAGGTGAACACCGAGAAGCTGGCGGCAATGTGGATGTATGCCACCCAAATGGGCAGCCTGCCGCCTCCCACGGTCCGCAAATTGACGCCTCCTTCGCGCCAGATTATGCTTATTCCCTCGACCGCTGGCAGTGGTGTAAGTTTGTTTTCCCATTTGTTCGGTTACACATTACAAAATTTATTTATAATTAACTAGTAGCACATTATTTTATGTAGCAGTTTTACACTTTAATTGCATTTTTCTTGGCGGCATAACTTTCAATTTGCATTTCTTCATTATTATATTAATAATATTAATTATGTATATTTACAAAACTATATTATTTGGAATTATAAATTCACCCTGTTAATATGATTTAAAATGAAAATTATATATCTTATTTTTTCTTTCTACGTATAATTTTATTTTTTGTATAATTAAGGTATAGCAGTTGATCTTTTTGTGTTATTTATTGAACTTCTTATTTTAAAAGCTTGTTACTTTGATACAATTAATGTTAAAATATTTAAGTTTACTTTTCTAAAGTATTCAACTAATAAATTATATGTTTTATTATCTTAAATTTCGTTGTTATATCAAAAATAATCATAATTGTTTAAATTAATTTTTTTTAGGTCAAAAATAATCATTTTCTTGAAGAGTTCATAAAAATCAGAAATAATTATTTATATGTAGTTTTTATAATTTATCTTTTAGTGATTACAGTCCCTGCTTTCCCCAGATTCTATTGAAATGTTATTATGTTGATTATGTTGATGGTAATGCTTTTTTTGATTTAATTTAGATGGCTCCGCCGCCACCGACACGCCTGCCTCCTCCACCGCCGGGCGCCGGAGCTGGACTTTTGCTGCCGGTTCCGCCGCTGCCGCCGCAATACCGTGGGATGACCCTTCCGTACATGCGAACCGCACCCGGACCCGGATCCGTGCTCTACGCTCATCCGCATCCGGCCAGTTTGGGCGGCACTTATCGCACCCACAAGAGCACCAAGTCGGCGGAGATCAACGGACAGCGGAGGCGCCGGCGGGCAGGCAAATCGGATGCCAATCGTCGCCAGCGCCGCAAATCGGAGGCGGACGTCCTGGACGGAGCACCCAATTTCCAGTACACCGGTCTGGATCGAGCCATAGCCGATAGCTTCTTGGCCAGGCAGGAGCAGTCTCAGGCGGGCAGTCACATCGACTATTCGTCATCCGCATCCTCGGACTTGTACGGCGGTCAGAGGGCCTCGTCCAAAACGAAGATCGTCTGCCGTGATGTGGTGATGTAAGGGGTATGGGTATTATGGGGTATTGTGGTCCCAACAAACACCAAGACCCCCTCCCCCGACCCCCATTTCATCTATCTTTTGTACATATATTTTCCACAGTGCAGCTTCGAAGGTTTTTCTTCGTGTGGCTTTGCGATACAAATTATCCTTTTTTTAGTCCTATCCATAACTTTATCCCTATATCTACATATGCGTATTAATTGTAAGTCACTTATAAATATGAATCGAATAAAGTTATATTAAACTAACTCAAATTTAATTCATTCAACTTTGTAATCTAGTTCACCAATGAGAAAGAGATTTTTTAAATAAAATAAACAATCATTTTAGATCGGATTCTTTTAAAGATTTTTAAAGTTTTAGGGCAAAATTGTTGTCTGTCTATGCGAGATTCATTTTATTAATTATTTTTTAAAATGTTTTGATTGTTCCCATGGGAGCTATATGATATATATCCGTCCGATTTTGATGTAATTCACACCTTAGTTCTAAATTATCTAATAACTAACTGAATAACTGATCTAAAAATCGTCATAGCTTCAATGATTCTAAACATAAACGCATATGAATCGAAATTAAAAGAATATTTAATCTTGGCAATAGCTATGTTTGGTAAAAAAAATAAAATTGATAATTTGCTAGGAATAATTGTTTATTTGTGACAACCTGAATGCCCTCTTGGCCGTGTTTATAAAATCCGTAGAAAATGATTAGTTAGATCTAGAAATCCTCGTCGCTGTGGTGCTCCGCCTTATTGGCCGTCTTCGGTCGCAGCGGTAGTTCGCCTGTTAACTTCAAAATGCTAACGTCATCAATAGAGTTGAGGTCAACTGGGGAAAATAGCATTACAAGTTGTGTCGAATGGGGAGCACAATGGTCAGACTTACAATCATCATCGCCGGCGCCCAGGGCAATATTGCTCATGCCACTCAGCCCGCTGATGCCGCTCATTCCGCTCATCCCGCTCATGCCCATGATCTCGCCCACATCCAGTTCGCTGTCGGAGCTGCCGAAGCTGCTGTCGTCGTCCCGAGAGTTGAGCATACTGCTTCCGGGTCCATTGCGACCGTTTCGATGGGCGCCACCTCCAGCAGCCTCTCCGCCAGCTGCTCCTGCCCTTCTGGATCCTCGAGCGGCTCTGGCATCACCACCTCCTCCCTCTGCTCCTGCCGCCCCTTTCCCTATAATTTGTTCAATTTCAATATTTCAGTTTGTAAATATATTTAAAATAAACTGATAAATAAATTAAATAGTAGCTAATAATAAAAATTGTTATATTGAATCCAAATTTAAAAGGGGCAGGATGGTTTGCAACTTCAAAAAAGTTATTTTTTATAATTTTTTATGTGAGCACAACATCTGAGGCATATCCTGTGAAAATTTCTTGTCGATCGGACTTAAAATCGCTGAGATCAATTTTTTTATATTTTATCAGGCAATGATAGGTTGATTTTTTATGTAAAAATGGTGCCTTTGACTTTAAAACTGCGCCAAAAATTCTAAATCGCATATTTTTCAATTGTATTTCGTTTAGCCGCACAAAAAACTAATATATTAATTTAATCAAGTAATTTTTTTTTATTATCACAGTGACGCCATTTTTTTTGAAGTGACATATTAAAATCAATTACCAAAATAGTCAAATAAAATATTAAATAAAATGTATTATTTCCGTCAAAATAAAACTGTTTAAAACCGAAACTTAACTTGCGCAAAAGGAGTATATCCGTTAATCATTAGCGGCATTTTTTTTAAGCTAGAGTTTAGAATTTGGCTTTTTCCCAAAGTGCAACTGTTCACTCAATTAAATCAAAAAAATGTTAACTTAAGTAGGAAATACTTGAGTTTACTATGTGTTTTTTACCAGTGTACTTGATATGGCTGAAGGCATGTTTTATGTTTTATGTTTTATGTTTTTTTTGTTATCGCTAATCCAAATGAAATTGTTTTTTGTCTGGTCAAAAGCTAGTGACTAGCTTGTGAGCATTGCTGTATCTCCTTACCTCCGACTCCCTTCCTGCTCCTGCCCGTAGTGGGTCTCATCCTGGAGGTGGCGGTACCCGGACGCTTTCCCTGCGCCGCGATCAGGTTGATCTGCTGCATCAGCTTGTCCTCGTCCCGTATGTCCGGTATTTCCGAGTCCAGGCCGAACACACTGCGTCCATTTACCACCATTTCGAGGCCGGAGACCGCGGCGCCGCCATCGTCATGACCGTGGCCCTCGTCATTCAGGTTGTCCTCGTCCTGGATGTCATCCTGGTCGTCAACTTCATCGTCGTCGTCGTCGTCGTCGTCATCATCATCGTCCTCAATAAGTCCATCCGGTATGAAGGGCATGGATGTCTCCGCCGGCTTTTGCAGCAGGGGCGAGGCAATGGGCGTGGCCCGTTTGGTGCGCAACTCCAGCTGTGACTTCAGAGCATCCCGGACATGCAGCCGTAGAAAATAGCGCTGGAAGAGCTGCTGCAGCTCCTTCTCGCACTCCTCGAACTCGGCCATATGGGCCGGTCGTATGCGATGCAGGGCCTCCAATCTTTGGCGGGTCCGCTCGAGTTCCGCCCGTCGACGTTGCAGCTTGGAGCCCAGGGCATTCAGCTCGACCTTGGCCGCCTCCAGTTGGGCGCGACTGGACTGCAAGCGCACCTGACTGGCCTGGATGGCGTTCTTCAGCGTCCTCTCCACGCTGAGCAGTTCCAGCGGCTTGTGGGCCAGCGATAGATGCGCCTCCTTGTCCAGCAGCTCCTGCGAGAGCAGCTCGTAGATGGCTGTGCCGCGTTGCGTCAGATCTGCTGCCAATTCTCGTGCCTTGCGCAAATCCTCCATTTTGTCACCAATATCGACGGGATTCAGGCTACCGTACTGCTCCCTGTGCTCCTCCTCGTCGCGATCGGCATGGTTTTGGCCCGGGGCGGTCAGAAGACGGGTTACCTTTTGAAGTTCCGCTGCCGTGACCGAAGCGGCTGCATACAGCTTGCGGGGATTGAGGCGTATGGCCGCCTTGGTCACGAAGAATTCCGTGGCCGAACGGACGAGGAGAATGCGCTGCTCCTCGGACTCCACGCCGCCGGGCAAATGGGCACCCGGCTCCAACAGGCCGGCCAGCCATTGCAACAGTTCGGCGACTATGTGGAAACTGGCCAGGCTGCCGTGCGGATTGGCCAGGGATTGCAGGGGAAATACCCGCGGAAAACCCAACAGCTTGAGATGTTCCCCCAGATCTGGAAGCACAAGAATGCGAAGGTCGGTGGTCGGTGGTTAGTGGTTAGTGGTTGGTGGCTATCTGGAGGGGATAGAAGCAGAAACACGCACCTCGCACATCCTTGAAGGACATTCCTGGATGCCGACGAGTTTTACACCCGTTTTCACCTGTTTTTGCTGCGCCGGCTGCGCTACCAATTGCGTTTTCCACTCCGTCATTTGTTGTGGTCTCTGGCGCCTTTGTTTGCGCCACCGAACCCCAAATTGAAGGTTGCCAGGCAACGCAAAATGCACTGGCAAAAAAAAGTATATCAGCACACCATATTAATAAGTATTTTAAATTTAAAACAATTTAAAACAATACCCAGTTTAAAACAAAAATCAAACACCAAAATTAAAAAAAAAAAAATACTTAACTAAGTTCGATAATCACAAAGTTAATAAATTTAAATAAAAAATGATCATTAAAATCTTAATTGGTAATTACATAGTTTTGTTTAGTTTTCCACACACGTTAACGATATCGTTTACAAAGTTTTAATCCACTGGGTATATACATATATGACTCTTAGTCTTTTTAATCTAAGTATTTTAATTGATTTTCGGTTATAACTTTATGTTTTCATTTGTTTTTTAAATTTTAAAATTTCGGTTAACTTGCATAATTATTTAATTGTTTGTGCTTCTTTTTATTTTTCCTCTTGTATTTTAACTATATTTTCTTACAGTGTTTACCGGCTAATTGTGACTAGCTTTAACTCGATTGCTGTGGTCGGTCATACAATTCACCAAGGAAACGGTTGCGCTGGAAATGTAAGGGATGTAAAGGTCCATTTTTTCTTGTTATACGATATTAAGGAATGTTCATCTGGTTGTTCAGTTCCGACGACACAGGGCTCCTCTCAAGTTAATAAAGCGATTGGATTTGACCAGTTGCTTATCAAAAGTAGCCCTGTACGACGCTTACTAATTCATGCTTTTCCACTTTATATTTTTATTACATATTACTTCGATTTTATCTAATTTCCGTTAAGTTTCAATTAAACGCTTTGTGCCACTGACAGATTGTAATTAGCGATTAGCAATTAGCTTGGCATCCTGTTAGCCTGAGGGTCAATATAAAAAGTATGCTGAAATATAATGGATTACTCGGTATGAAGGAGCTAAAAATTCCATATTTTTTCAGAAACAAGAAACGAATATTAAAATAAATTAAATCTACCAAAAATTTAGACTTGAGATAATTACTTAAAAAAAAATTGTTTGATTTAAAAGAACTATTATGAGTCGATAGAAGTAGAATGGATCGATAGTTTTTGTTCGAATAAACATACATATGGTTATTTATAGCAAACTTTACTGCAAACAGAACGCTTACATATGTTTTATTTCGGTATAAAATCAAATCATTTGCATGCATTTAAATTGATTATTTATTTGAAGAGAAGAATTTTTTGGCATGGACTTTTGGTAGAGTAACTCATGTCCGGCTTTACTCCCGGCAGTAATAAAACTCAGTCTCAGTCTCTGGGTTTTAATTGCAATTCAAGTGGTGTGAATCGCTTGTTACCATATGAATGCCCCGAATCGCGGCGATGACAGCCACTCACATGAGTCCTTGGTCTTTGGTCCTAGATGGTCCTGGTCCTAGGTCCTTGCTTCTCTTCTCAGCTGCTTAATCAGTTGACAGCCAGCCGAGCCACGCCCCTCGCCCCGTGGCACACCCACCCACGCCCAACTCCCACCTTCCGCCTCCCAAACTCGCATGGCCGAGTCTTTGTGCATATTTAAGCAGCATCGGGCGGCGAGCTGAGGGGATGCAGTCAGTCGCTCCTCCACGTCAGTTGGCCTGCATTTGACGAATTTTCACGCGTCACGCATTTGCAGTGACCTCAGGGCTCAAAGGCTTTCTGCTCGGCCCGGCACGGTCCGTCCGCCAGTTTTGTCTCGCTTTTCAGGCTGTTTACACGGCCAGAGTTTCCGAAACGGCAGGAACCGCGAAAACAATATTAATTGATATACAATATATCACCACAAAGGAATTGAGCATATATATAGTATCATATCTATTGAATATTTTGGTTTTTTTTTGGTCCTATGTTTGATAAGTAAAACAAAAACAGCAGATTAACTATTTTGTAAAATATCAAAAATAATCGGTATAGTAATTATCACTCAAATGACTTTGGCTTTAACTTACACCACAGCTTGGCTTAAAAAACTGGTAAAACTGTGTCTAAACAATTATCTTGCGATATTGAAATAACAAATGCCTTAAAATGAACCAACTCCTTAAAAGAAACAAAAAAGTTTTAGATATATGTCCATCTCAAAAACAAAATCTAACATTTCAAAAACTTTTTGCCTATCCACAACCTTTAAACCAGGACCTATAAACCCGAGTAATATTGTCTTTGAAATTTGATAACCCCGCATAAACGTCGCCTGGTCGTGAGTGTGAAATGATATGGGCTAGACCTGTGTTGTTGTTGTCTGGGAACCTCAATTCTTGGGCTGCATGGTGTTTATCCAGTGTGTTTGGGGGTGGTATTGGGCGGTGGGCGGTGGGCTGTGTGAGGGTCGACCGGCGAAGGCATCTTAGTTGGTTCTATCAACTCCATTGGCATCGTCATTTGGTGGCCGGCGTCGGCTTGCATGTACTTATGTCAACATGTGCATATATTTGCATTGCCCCGGGTGTCGCAATATCCCATTGCGCTTTTAATGGCAAAGTTCTGGCATGATGGCCTTTTTCTGGCCTCTTTGAAGATCCTCTTTCTAAAGATCCAAAAATAACTCCATACTGTTTGCTAGACCTTTATTAATAGTACAAATTGATTAACACTTCAAGTGAATAACGTGATATATTTTTTTACACTCGTCTGTGGTCAAAAGATGTTCCTTTATGGTATATAGTGTTGGAACCATCTAACCTGTCGATCCGGCTGCTGTAGAGCTAGGTGGTGGTGGTGGTGGCGGAGCTCTGAATTGTTCTCCAGTGGAGTTGTGATGATGAGCGGCAGTCTCCAGTCCACGAACCAAACCCACTTCTGCCATGCTCGGTTGCTAAAAATATTTGAATTCTTTTAGACAATAGGACAGCAAACAAAAGTGTTAAGTAGAAATTTTCTTTTAATTTAAAACAAATTGGGCAGCACATCATAATGCGTTTGGGCCAAATTAATTAACAGACTAATTTGTATAATTTGTATAGCTTTCTGTTGTGCCTGCTTATTTTTGTAAATCTTAAATTTAATTTTTTTTATACAAAATTTAATAACACAATAATTCACAAATTTAAACTCACCATCAGGCAGCAGCTGAAGGCCAAAAATAACAACAGAAGGAGACGCATCTTGGAGTTGAATGATGTCCATTGGATTCAAAAACCTGGCTTTTATGGCCCCGCATTGTTTATCTTTGACAAAAATAATGTGTACAAATTGCTTGTTCAATTAGTTTGTCACATATAGTACCAAATTGGCGTGTTGATTTCATAATAATATTATTTCAACAAGTTCGCAGTTATCATGTGCACTGATGCTTTTATTTTCCGGTAAAAGAATATGCTTTGTTTGCATTTTGTGTATAGTTGTTTGTATCCATTCGTAAATAAGGTATATTTTATTTAAACTTAAATTGTGAATGTTTTTAATTAATTTGATAACCTTGTCCGTGGAAAACAATGTTATTACAGTAAAAAACAAACATTATTGAAAAATTACGGTGATTTTCCAAAACTCAGAAATATACTCTTATTTTCAGAGCTTAATTTATAATTTAATTTTCGGGATCAGAAGACTTTATGTAGATTTTATAGCTGCCACAGCGAAGATCTTAAACTTTTTTGAAACAATTGTAGTTCATGTACAGCATGGTTTACAATTTATATATTATTTTGAAATCTTGAATAAAAAGTAAAAAATAAAGGCATAATGTTATATTTTTAGCTACCTTTTGTAATCCATAATTGGCACCACTAAGGTCGAGTGGGCGTGGCAGGCGGCCGTGTGTGGGTGGCCTCCCTCCCAGCCGGAGCCAATCTGCATCAGACTACAAACAGGCATTGAGTCACGCACTCCGGCGTTAAGGGGTTAAGCGGGGGTCTCGGGGAGTATCAGGATGCTGCTGCTAAGGGGTTAATGTGGGCGGAGGGCCGTTGGCGGGACAGGGGCTGCCACCCATGAACACTACCATGTGCAACTATAACCAGCCGGCGGATGAATAAAACCCGAGACGCAGGACTTCAAGGATGTTAACACCCAATCTGAATTAACCCTTGGCCCACTGATTAACCCCTGAACTTTAAATGGCTGGACATACACAAACATATTTTAGGTATTTCTGGGGGCCCAATCTAATGGAGTGGATAACAAAATGTATTTAAATACATATATTTATTTGTATTTATGAATGAATGATACACATTCTCCTTCGGTGTTTAAGAATAATTTCTCAGCAAGTTATTAAACCATTTTCATGTTTGATAGAAGAAATTCAACCTATTTTTTTTATTTTATTTAATTTAACTTTTAACTTAGTAGTATTTTAATTTATTTATAAATTTACTTTGGCTGTCTTATGTTAAAATTTGTACCAAGCAACAGGAACTTTGAGAGTATTCTGGGCAATTTATAATTGTAAACAAACTGCACAGTTTAGCTTTAAAAAAAATGTGAAATCATTTAATACCATGAAGAAAAATGTGATATGCTTTAGAAAGAATCATTTTTTATATAGTTGTACAAAATTTGTAAACAATAGTTTTGCATTACTCAGTCAGCAAAACCTACTCACCGTGCTGTTTAGAAAGCACGCCTGTAGAGAAAGCAATTGCTATTCAAATAACTTTACTTACACCAAAACTGTACTTTTTATTTTGATAAATTCCAAATGGCTTCAGCCAGTCCAATTCCGAGTTGATATGCAAATATATCAACATTGGTTTCCTAATTATGTACATATTTTCACTCATTCACTGCTTCTTAAGCTTATATTTGCACATTTATTCAGTCATATTATTTTCCATAGCTACGCTATTTAAATGTTGACAGCATTTCTAGTTAAAAGCCAATATTTTGCCTTGATAATATTGAAATGTTTTTGCATGGCCTTGCTTAATTTCATTTAATTTGAATGGCATTAGCACGAATGTCCTGTCATTAGCAGACGAACTTGATCCTCCTTTGTGGTTTTCGTTGCAGGATTGCGAAAACCCGTAGTTGGGATAATTCATTGTCCGGCAATTGTTGTTAGGCTGTGTTGTTGTCAAATCAATGCTGCATAAATATTTCGCGTTGACATTCGCAAAGCTCTGCTATTTGCATTTTTTTACTGCAGTCCGGAGCTCGAATTGCGACACAGCCTATAAATTAGACTTCCTGAAAGGATAAATTAGTAATTAGGTTTGATTACGACTAGTTGGCAACGCAATTCTGTGCTGAAATTTTAGTAAATGTACGGTTTGAACTGTTAAAAACAATTTGGTTTGAAAATTGTCAAATTTCATACACATGTTTAATTAGTTTCAATAAAGAAAAAATAAGAAAGAATCAGTTTTCACAAAAAATAGACCGAAATCAAGATAGATCTTATGATAATAGATGCATAATAATCGTATTTCAAACAAAATAAGGTCTTGAATTATATGTTACACTTGTTTTTTGACATCCTAAGCTCTGTTATGTTGTTTTACAATTTTTATATTATTTCAGGTCTCCTCGAATTCCCCGCAATATATTCAACATTTTTTTTTTAATCCATGTTTCTGTATAATTTATTTAGAATATTTCCAGGGCCTTCAAGCTTCGATTGCCGGGCTTAAAAATGCAGTTGAGTGCACGATTTACAAACGTTTTGCATTGGTAATGAATAATAAAGCTGCATGAATCCCACATTCCATCCAGCAACCACCACATACATGGCAATTTGTCAAAAAGCAAAACTTAAATTGAACCAAACTAGAATTAGAAGTACATATGTTTGTGAATATGTAGGCAAATAAACTGAACGCACATAAATTGTTATTGGGCTTATATCTGTTGAATATTCAAGCTGTTTTTAGACTCAAGTAATCGATAGCCACAATAAGCTTTGCATTTAAAGAGTTTTTTGGAATTGGCAAGAAAACACACAGTACTCTGGATGCTGGACTGCAGTTTAAATATACCAGACTTTTAAATGTTACTTTAAAGTAATTTTTTAAACCTTACAGAAATATGTAATAGTTATACGTAGTCTCTACAGTTTTTGGTTGATAATTTTTATACAAATAACATTTTTCGAGTTGTTTTTTTTGAAAGCTGTTGTCTGTATCGTACTGCAAATGGCGTAAAACTTAATGCAAAAAGGATTTTCAGTTTTATGTTTCCGCAATCGATAGTTTATTTTACAGCTTCTACTTTCGTTTGGTTAGTCCTTTTTTAATTATTTCCTTTTTTTTCATTTATGTCCGATTGTAATTTGCATTTTCAATTAGACCCTGTGTGCGTGAGACTGCGGGTATGAGTGTGGAAATGTTGGTAAATTTGATTTACAAATATTATTGTTGTGGGGGCTGTGGAAATACCGTTGCCAATTTAACCGATCAATCGAATTTCGGCTTTGGGGGCTTTTCTCTATTCGGAGAAATAAAAACAGATTTAAATAGGTGAAATAATGCGACAAAATGGCAATTGTAAAGAAATGGTTTTGAAAATTCTTAAAAATTATCATAAAAATCTCTCAAAAATGTTCAAAAATCAGCAATTAAATTAGGCAGTTTGCTTTATTACACATTTTTGACTATGCCAAAGTTCAAATCAATTAAATCGCGTTTAGCTGACAACTGTGGCCATATTGCAGAAGGCGGCACAATTCCAAGTCAATTACAATCGCGCCCATAACTCTAAATTTGAATGCATTAATATCCCATTTCAAACCTTAAAGGTTGGAACTTAAAGCGAGTGCGATTGGGGGATGATGGCGCAAATCTGTCACAATTAATGCCGCCAAAGTCGCTCACGATTCACGATTCACGATTCAAGAGGCCTACGAAGTCTGGGCCCCAGATGTTGGCATATTTACACCGGAAGTGCGGGGGTACGGGTGCGGATTTGTCTCTAAAGCGTGCAAAAGTTTGCCGCCTCGCCATCTCACTCTCATTGGCGGCAGTGTTGAGTCAGGGATTGAACAAATAAACATGGTACCTTCAAAATACCTTTCAACTTTTTTTGGGTCAAAATATCTCGAAAATGGTACATCCTGCGAACTGACAAGGAAAAATGTTATCACCCCTTGTTTTTGTGTTTTTATTTAAGAAATAAGAAATTAGTTAAAAACTACATTTTTACTAATTCAGAATGTTTGTATGTGGTCTTAGTCACAAATTACAATTTTCGATTAAATTACTTTAAATCATAATCACAAACTTACACCTTAAAAACTTAAAATGGTAACTTTATTGTCAGCACATTCAATTTAATGTATACATTTTTTTTTTTAGAAATGTAATTTATTTTTTTATAAACCTTTCTTTTAATATAACTTTTTCAAACTTAGACTAAGCATTTACCAAACTGACAGCACTGTTGGCACCAAGAGATGGGGGGCCATTAAAGCCATGTTAATCGATTTTCTGTTGCTTTACACGCGCCTTTCCAACAGAGGCACACGCCAGCCACACCCTCCCACTTCCACCTCCAATTTTCCGCCCCCATCCCCACAAATTTCCCACCCAACCGCACTACCCCCTCCCCCCCACACACACAGAAGAAAATAAGCAGGATGCTCCGTAGTGTTTCAGGTGACGCCCTTCTCGCATAACCGCCGTTTTTGTAGGCGTGTCAGGCGGCAAACGTAAGGCGAAGTACTTTCGGGGCAATTGCTAATCGTCGGTCCCCAGAAATTTGTTATTGTTAGGAATATACTCAAGGCGGCTTTTTGACGATTAGCTGAGAAAAGCTAGCATTACCAACTAACTCCATTTAATCGGAAAACGAAAATAACTTAAAGGTCAAAAATGATCTAAGCCATTCCATAAAATGGTAAATGGTTGTCTTATGTTTGTTCTTACATAAAATATTTTTTAAATTTATAAATAAACAAATATCTTCGACATATAGTAATGGTTATATATTTCGGAATTACGGTTTAAATTTTATCAAAATCGGACGACTATATCATATAGCTCCTATAGTTACAACCGGAAAAATAAACATATACGCAAGTCAATCATAATTTTAATGTTTTCAAGAATATTTAATTTTTGAAATGGCATGCCATTCGATTGGAAATTTTATTGCGAATTTAACGGTGTATGACATTCCACATTTTAACCATTAACCAATTTTCAAACTAAATAATTTCTGAAGAGTCTTTTTGTTGTAACTTTGCCAGAATAAGACCCAAAGTCAAAAGAGTTGCTATTTTGAAGAGCTAGCAACCTATACCATCCGTCCCTGATCGATTTAAAACAATTCATTTTGTTTTGACACAAAAACAGAATTTAGAAAAACGTTTTTTAAAAAAATAATTTTTGTCCAAATTTCCGACTTTTTTGTAAGGGGGTACTTCATCATCTTTTTTTGCAGAAATTCGAAAATCTGAAAAAATTTTAACTGTGAATGCCATTCGATTGGAAATTTTTTTACGAATTCAACGGTGTATGACATTCCACATTTTGACCATTATTTCCGTAAGTTTTAATACAAAAACCAAGTTTTTAATGTGTTTTTTGGGATTTTTGGCGATTTTTCAAACAAAATTATTTCTGAAGAGTCTTTTTGTTGTAACTTTGCCAAAATAAGACCCAAAGTCAAAAGAGTTGCTATTTTGAAGAGCTAGCAACCTATACCATCCGTCCCCGATCGATTTAAAACAATTCATTTTGTTTTGACACAAAAACAGAATTTAGAAAAACGTTTTTTGTTACATTTATTTTTGTCCAAGTTTCTGGATTTTTTGTAAGGGGGTACATCATCATTTTTTGCAGAAATTTGAAAATCTGAAAAAATTTTAACTGTGAATGCCATTCGATTGGAAATTTTATTACGAATTCAACGGTGTATGACATTCCACATTTTGACCATTATTTCCCAGGGTTTTGATACAAAAACCAAGTTTTTAATGTGTTTTTTGGGATTTTTGGCGATTTTTCAAACAAAATTATTTCTGAAGAGTCTTTTTGTTGTAACTTTGCCAAAATAAGACCCAAAGTCAAAAGAGTTGCTATTTTGAAGAGCTAGCAACCTATACCATCCGTCCCCGATCTATTTAAAACAATAAATTTTGTTTTGACACAAAAACAGAATTTAGAAAGACGTTTTTAAAAAAAATTATTTTTGTCCAAGTTTCTGGATTTTTTGTAAGGGGGTACATCATCATTTTTTGCAGAAATTTGAAAATCTGAAAAAATTTTAACTGTGAATGCCATTCGATTGGAAATTTTATTACGAATTCAACGGTGTATGACATTCCACATTTTGACCATTATTTCCCAGGGTTTTGATACAAAAACCAAGTTTTTAATGTGTTTTTTGGGATTTTTGGCGATTTTTCAAACAAAATTATTTCTGAAGAGTCTTTTTGTTGTAACTTTGCCAAAATAAGACCCAAAGTCAAAAGAGTTGCTATTTTGAAGAGCTAGCAACCTATACCATCCGTCCCCGATCGATTTAAAACAATAAATTTTGTTTTGACACAAAAACAGAATTTAGAAAGACGTTTTTAAAAAAAATTATTTTTGTCCAAGTTTCTGGATTTTTTGTAAGGGGGTACATCATCATTTTTTGCAGAAATTTGAAAATCTGAAAAAATTTTAACTGTGAATGCCATTCGATTGGAAATTTTATTACGAATTCAACGGTGTATGAGATTCCACATTTTGACCATTATTTCCCAGGGTTTTGATACAAAAACCAAGTTTTTAATGTGTTTTTTGGGATTTTTGGCGATTTTTCAAACAAAATTATTTCTGAAGAGTCTTTTTGTTGTAACTTTGCCAAAATAAGACCCAAAGTCAAAAGAGTTGCTATTTTGAAGAGCTAGCAACCTATACCATCCGTCCCTGATCGATTTAAAACAATTCATTTTGTTTTGACACAAAAACAGAATTTAGAAAAACGTTTTTTGTTACATTTATTTTTGTCCAAATTTCTGATTTGGACAAAAGAGTTGCTATTTTGAACAGCTGGCAACTTATAGCTTCAATGTTTTTAAACATATACGCAAGTAAATCATAATTTTAATGTTTTCAAAAATGTTTAATTCTTGCAATACTTGTAGCTGCAAGGGTATTTGAACTTCGGCTTGCGAAGTTTGCTTTCTTTTTTGTTCTTATTATGTTCTATGTAGTCATAAAAAATCTACTTGAATATTTCCCAAAAACGAAATACACCATCCCATTTGATAGATGCTGCATTCAACTTTACCGCTTTCGGATTTGGGTGGCTGCAGCTGTAAAAGCAATGTTTAAAGTTATCCATCCTGTAAGTGTGTTTTCCCAACTTTTCCGATCATATGTTTCGCCAAGTGTTTGATTTAAAGGAAAGTGCAACTTTGGCGGCGGCCGTGTGGGTGTGAGGAAGTGCTTCTTTCTACACGTACGCACATTTTGCAAACTGCACTAAATTAAGGTAACTC